TCACCATCTGCCGTTCTACAGGACCCAAAAACCGGAATTAGCGTTCTGATGGTGGCTGCTAGTGCTGGTCATACGGAGATAGTCCGCTATCTTCTAGCCGAAGGTGCACCATGGAATGCAGTAGACCGTGCGTACATGTGCGCTGGAGACTATGCTGCAAAGCATGGTCACCAGGAATGTGTTGACGTGTTACTGGATCATGCGGTTATGTCGGAACTGCTCTTGTCGATTACAACAGCTTCGGCAGATAGTTCCAATACGGCCGATCCAAATGTCGCCCAGGGTGTACCAATGGAGTCTGGTGTATTCCACTCATCCGGACCCAACGGGCCACCTCACGAAACTCTGAACGCTTCCTATTTAGCAAGTCGGTTGGAATACTCTGAAGATGGTCATCGTCTAGTGGACAAGGACACACATCTGGCTGTAATGATGGATTGGGAGCGTCCACTCATGGCTCGTCATGCTGCGTGGATTTGTCACGCGGACGCACACCCTGTGACACCCCTCAGTATTCGGGTTCTAAATGTCGGATTTGGAATGGGTATCGTAGATGAGGAAATCCAAAATTACAAACCATCCTCGCATGTGATCATCGAAGCGCATCCGGAGGTAAACCCCACTTTGATCATACCTTTTGTTTTACAAATCCTTGTTGCTATTTAAGTAAGGTTTTCTCTCTCATTAATTTCCCAGCTCTGAATATTGAAGCGAACTTTTCAGCGTTATTTCCTTATCCTCGTAATACAGCACTGATGGTCGGCTTGTTTTCGCCCATCCAGTTTCTTGTTTGCAGTTCAAGGTCGGTGAATAGGATGAGAGCTACTGACCGCACATTCTTTATCTGCCCCTTTATTTCTGCCTGTTCCCAGCACTATGTAAGCCCTCGTACTCTCTAGGATTACACAGCAGCTATGTACTGAAGGAATGCCAGAATTCACTTTCCTGGTTTGTATTGCTAACAACAACAATCTGGTTAANTTCCTGGTTTGTATTGCTCACAACAACAATCTGGTTAATCGTGAAGATGTGAGAAGAACTCATTTTCTTGATCATTATTTCCCCACCATAGGTCGTGTTTTTCTGTTTCTTTAGTCATTGACGCTGGAATAGCCGAACGCTTCTTAGAATGGTTCTAAACATCCCGCAGAAAGTTTACTGAAGCTGATGGACTGATGTACAGTACTCAAACAATCGAGAGGATTGAACGATGTTAGCCACACCCAAATCTCTTGTAAAGCAGATTGCTGTATTTGGAACAAAATAGCACGTAGAAACAAAGAATATACATCCAATGTTCGCTGATTTACTTTGACTTGCTCGTCCATGCCCAAAAATTATTGATTTATAGATATGGAGTCAGGGCTGTTGTGCTAGAGATAATTGTCACCGGGGGCAAAATATCCAAATAGGCTGGGGTTGTGAACTCACAAGCTTTCCGTGACTTGATGAGCGTAAGTCTTCCTGTAGGATCCCCTACTGTTTCCATCTGTTTTTGACCACTATCAAGCTCGTCAACAGCAATTGTGTATTTTTTTCCGGCCGACCATCGAACCAGCCAGTTAGGATTGTAATACTTCACATCCTACCCCCTTCATACTACTAACCTATGTCATATCATAACTGATGTAGCGTTGGTTTTCAGTTTGTTTACTTTCGCTCTATCTTCCATTGATAATTCTGCTTTCTGTTTGCACCATGGCACTGAAAGCTGCTAGTGCGAAAAAGAGAATGAAAAAACTCATTTCACATGACGCAACCCATAGAATTTTTCATGAACAAGAAATTCAGGGCGATTTCATTTGCATTCCTCTTTACTGCCCACTTGGGGCGAGATGGATGAAGTGGTTAGAGCGCGAATTTTCTGACCAAAGGTCCGTGGTTCGAACCCAACCTCAGCCTCTCGACTTCCCCTGTCTAGGCTTGGGCAATCTGGCAGTATTACAGCTCTCCTGCCTCTCTCGTGTGGCATGGCAGTTAGGCACCGAAAGGGTACTACAGCTGAACGATTTTTTACTGCCCACTTAGTCTACAAATAAGTGTTTGTTGCCATAGAAGAGAAAACCTCTTCTTACGCAAAACCATTATGTCAACAATTCCTAAACAAATTCGGTCGTACTGATAAAGTGCTTGTGCCGCGTTGTGCGTGCCACGGGCAACACAGTCGCATTAGAGAAGGTGTCGTTAGACGGGGGATGTAGTACGACCTGCTCACCAGGCACCGTAACGCAATCTGTCTCTACTTTTGGCTCCAGCAGACGACTTCAAGATTGTGGAAGGTCAGTTTTATTCGTTCTTTGTTCCCCTGCATCCGCCATTTTCAACTCTCCACTGCAACGCGGAAACAGAATGGATGAAATCACACGTGAAATTTCCTCAGGCGTACTTGGACTGGTGATGGTGTGCGGCTCATCAGCCAGTCATCTGAAGGTATGCAGTTGCCGTCAGCGTATGAATCATGTTAGTGATGATGTGAAGATACGTCTCCTGTAATGCGTCAGCTTATATAAAACCGGAGCGATTTCCTTTGAGCGTCTTCATCGCCGCGTTATGTGATATTGCCCTCCCCTGAAGCTTCCTTGAGCACAAAAACACTTGGTTGATAATGAAGATCGTCCTAAATAAGGGTGACAGTGCTCTCGATGAAGACCCATGTTTTGAACGAAACACTTTAGTTATAAGGACTCAAGCACACCTTTTCCCTGTTCGCTTGGGATGCATCGACATAACCTCATGACAGCTTCTTTTTCTGGTCTCAGTTACGTCCCCAATAAACCCCAGCCCACGCACTGGATTGCAAAATCAAAACTGGCGTTCCGTTAATGGGTTTTGATTCACGGGGCGAAATCTAGTCTTGCTTCGTTCTGCTACAAGGTCATCCCATTGCGCCCAATATTAGTGCAGTAATGATATACGACACGAGTTTTTTTTCGCGGGTAATCGAAGCCTGAGTCAGACTCGATTTGGCATCGTTCGTTCGTCGCACAAAACGATAACGCTACGTTGTTGAGCGAATATACAAGCAACTTCACAGACTGATCAATGGACTTAATACTGTGTTCGCTGTCATTAGGCCGCGTATACTGCGCAGTTTGGACGCACGAATTAATTAACGCATGCTCGACGAACGCATCTTTGTGACCGTTTTTCAAAGGCACATTCATCGATAGCGACGCCGGTGCTTCAATAGTTGCGATGCTAATGCAAAGACATTTCGTTCACAGCTTCGCTCACCGTCGCCAGTTTGCGACTAAAAGGTATATTGATGGCCCAGGTTGTAATGATGGCTTTTGGTCTGTTCGCTGAGCTGGGCGATCTGGTTTTGAACTTTTCACCAATCACCTCACGCGCAACAACCGCGCACTTCGACCTGAACGCTCTTCCAACTACGACACACTGATGGTGTCATCTTAACTGATGGTGAAACGTTTACGACCAAATAGCCCAGCTCAGCAAACAAACCAACGACCACCACCGCCGGTGAGCAGAACAGCAGGACGAATGACAGCCCCGACTGGTCGTGTGACAAACAGTGATTTGGTCTCCAGAGGCCCGTATCTGATGAGTTAGTCGCTGTTGCGATAAACGATTAGTTTAACCAGGATTCCACCGAAATGCCTCAAGAGTCCAACTCTGGTCGATCGAGTGTGCCAACCGTAACTTGGTGGGAGCAATACACACGAGAATGGTGAATATCAAGACTGTCGCTGCTTTCAACCCTCTCGTCAGGCGGACCTGAACCATTCCTTATCCCATATCTTTTTTACTTCAAAGGTCCTTTTCCGTCACTCCCGTTTATCCCTTGTGAACGCAATGGATGTCTGGTGCATCAAACTCATGACAAAGTGAAGTCAACAGTGAATAACCTGTGGCACTTATATAAACCTGCAGTTCCCGAATTCCCCCCCCCCCAGGTGGGGAACACCGGTTGAGAACCACCGTTTCAAACAGTCTGATTAGCTGAATATCACTCGCTGGTGAAACAAAAACCGGTTGTGCGAAAAAGCGTTCAAATCGGAACGTAAAATGTGGTGAGTATAGTTGTGCTTGTGGATGCTCATTCCAAGCTTGTGGTTCTGTGAGTTGACTGAGAACGAAGATTTTAGGGGAGGGGGGAATGTACAAAACTAATAATTTGTGGTATGAAGCTCAATCACCATACTGCATCTCGTTTAGTGAAAAACTCAGATATGCTATCTCTGCTAAAAGATGCCACTCTCCAACCGCTCTGTACACTAGTTCGGGGCTGACAGATTGTTAGATGTTCAGATTGGTCAGCCCGTGCTTCTGTGTCGTATTAAGAGACCGTCTAAACTACCTGAGTTGGTTCATGGAGACAGAAGCAAGTGCTACCTTCCAGGTAGTACGGTCGTAAAACATAAGGAGGAAAATCTGAGGAATTGGCTTCTTTGAATAGGTTGTGTCGATGCCATCAAATCGCCATGGATTCACAGGTGATTTTGCTCGGAGATCCCAAAACTGCTCATTGAGGATAATAGCCACTCTTATCCCATTATACAGACTCTTCAGTTACCAGCATTAGATTCGTTGGATACAAAGCTGCATGGCGGCTTTGCTGGCCATGAAGACGTCATCTATTGCCTTACCAGGATGTGCTTATACAGCATTCAAGGATTCAGGTCGTGTCAAGTAAAAACCGAGTGCTATCTCCTGTGCCAGTCCGCCAGTTATATCCGGCACGTCACCAAGACACGATCATCGTGTCCACAGGTGCAGTTTTCCTATCTGGGACTGACTGAAAATAGTCTCCCCGAGGGGACGACAACTCGAGTTCTAGGATTCTGTACTTTATTGATCTCTTGCTGGTTGCTGAAATGCACTAAATTGCAATCCCGTCTTCGAATTTGTGGTGGCGAGATGGCCCATTGGTTAGAGCGCGAAGGTCCGTTGTTCGAACCCGGTCTCTGCTTCCCTTGTGAAGACTTGGGCAACCTGACAGCATCCCAGCCCTCGTACCTCCTTCGGGTAGAATGGCGATTTGGCACCGAAAGTGTGCCACAGCTGAACGATACGATTTTTCGAATTTGTTAGCCAGTGACTAGAATGTAAGGTGGACTCACTTTGCCGGTTAGTGCCAAAATTTACTTCTGCACTTTTGTCAGTCTCATTCTGAGGAAAGTTCAAAATCGATGGGAAACTCCAACCGGTAGAAAACGGAACTGCAACATTAAGTTGACTCCTGAAATTTCAGGGAGACCTATCATGTTGGATTATCACACTTCATTCGTCCTGCTTCGATTCCACGTCAATCCTCTTTTCGACAAAAGTACAGTTGGATTATGAAAATGCCCAACCCGACTTGTATCCTTTTCACCAAACCTGGTTGTTTGGCTAACTTCACAACAGCGCACCGCTAAACAAAAGCTAATCTGCTACACTGATGATGATGATACCTCCATTAGTAACGAAATGTTTGCAGTCAAATTGCCGAGCTCTCCTTAGTGGGCGAAACGTTGGGCAATATGTAATCTGTACACTTTGTCGATACTTTTTGCGCAAACGATACCGGTTGTCTCAACATTCTGGACAAAAGTGTGATTGAATGGGGGTCACTTGTCTGACCATTATCAAGTTTTTCACATCTAACAACGCTAGGTTCCGGATGAGTGACAGAATATGGTGGTTGCTTCCTTGTCGCACCTGTCAAATACTCTTTAAACCGTTATTTGATAAAAGTGACAGCTTGTCCTGTCAGTGCAATGGCCGTCGCAGATGATGGATGGCACGGGCTGGTAACTAGCCAGCGCCAAACCACAGGTCATTCAGGTGACCAGCTACGCAGAGTTCTCTTAAGCTCACACTAGCGGTCAAGTTGAGACAACCAGTCGCGCAAGTATATTGATTCAAAACCATGGCACTGTTCTCGAACCGACCCACCTGAATGTTCCCGCGAGCCTGCTCATTTTTGTTACTAATATGCGGACAGTCTATGATCTGGCAACAAAGTATGAAATCAATAATCAGTATACTCAGTCGGCCTAGCAACTGACGCCTCTCTGGATTTGGGGCCACGTGAAGTAACTTCTCAATCAGGCAATCAGTGGCGCTCCTGCATCGAAGCTACTCCCTCCAGTGCATAGTTACCCAAACTTAAATAGCCCGTGCTATCTCCTCCGGTGCTTAATTTTACTTCACTCGCTATTTCATTCTCGACCGGAAGTCTAGCAGTCTAGAATCAGGGTACACTTTATCACATGGTTAATAGTTGATAAACTGAACTGTTGTCACTATAATTCGGACCCATAAACCTGAGTCACCGATGCTGACCATTGGTGAAAGCAAACCTACCACCAAACCCTCTTCTTTCCGATCAAACGGATTAGGATGTCTGAGTGGTTCGATTGTTGCCGCAGTCATCAACTTAGAGATCACACCACTCGATTTGTAGGTTGCTTTTTGTGGTCACCAATGATCGTCCTTTTAATAACATAACGTTTCAGGTTCTGCAACGAATCGAAAACGATGGTTGGATGTCAAAACCAGGTATCCAAGTCATTCGTGGCCGTTGGCAAGATACCGTCCCGACACTTGCTGAGGAAATTGAATGCGGCAAATGCGAGCCGTTTGACGGGATTTTCTTTGACACCTATGCTGAAGACGATATGGACTTGCGTCAGTTCCACAGCTGGCTCCCCAAGTTGCTTCGTCAGCCCTATACAGGGAGCGATGGAGAAACGAAGACCAGTCGATATTCCTACTATAATGGCGTGTGCCCAGACAACGTATTTTTTCACGGAGTCGCCTGTGAAACGATCCGGTTGCATTTGAAACGGTAAGGTTTTGATGGTTGAGATACCGGTAGAAGTGTGTACTGAAAAACAATTTATGTGGTACGAAGCCCTTATTGGACGTAGACTTCTGTCTTGCCCGAAACTGGTCTTCTCGATTTATAGTCTACGGATATCGCCAAATTCGTTTCGCCACCGAATTTGAGTATAGCCAAGCTGATCCATAAACCGGTTCAGCAACTAACAGGAAATTTTCCTACTGTTCTACAAGTGACCGGCATATCGAGATCTCCGTTTAATGTTGCAACCTTCATTCTCAACGTTCTGTTCTGTCACCTTTTATGCTACTCGCGGGTGTGTTGCGTTTTTTTTTCCACTTCACGAAGTGGCTCATTTACTCACAAAAACATCACAATGAAGGTGCACCGTACCTTTGATCCAGATTTATTGTTGGATTGTTAAACGGTTGATGTCATCACCACTATTGATACCTCATCTTAATATCAGTGTGCCATTCATGATCAGACTGGATTTGGCCTGATCAACAGCCACCCAAATCCTCGAACCGCATCACAATATAGCTAGAATATAGGGTGAGGCAGCGCGCAAAGACTCGGTATTTTTCGGGTTCCAGATAATTCATCATTTTCGTTGCTATATTAGGGAACATCTTTGTGACAAGCTATCTTTGTCTTTTTCTTGAGCTTATTTGAACGGAGCCATATCTGTTGACCCTTGATGACATCCCCCATTCTTTTTTGCACCAATACGGTTCAGCAAAAAAGGTTCGAGAATGGTGAATAGCTGGGGAAGATACTTCATATGAAATGGAAAATTCTGCCCCGCCTTCAAAAAAGACACTTAAAAAGACAACTGGTTTCATTACCTTGACGCAAAACGCGTTCCATGCCACCAGAAACACCCGTCGGGATATTTTGTATTCTCATTCATAGCTGATGCTTACTGCTACATAATTTCGTCCGCGAGAACGTTTACGCCCGTTTGCTCTATCGACTTTGACGGTTGTGGAGTGTTCCCGACATGATTTCATCAGTCGTCTTATCCCACCTACTTGTGAATTATTGAACTCACCCAACCGGGTGCTCCAGTCCCCGTAGTCTTCGTCACTAAATTGACCGACGGCCGGCTCAACCACTAATCAATCTCACGAAGAGTACCGCTTAGGGTGCATAAAAAACGTCAGGAACCCTGATTTGAGGTGCCTCCTAAACTGCCTTGAACTTAATGTGGGACATGACACCCTTCTTTTGACTCGGTTGGGCAAACTCACCCTGAACACGTGCATCGCTTCTATGTTTAACTAAATAGGGATAAGGGTAAGATAATTTGGGCACTCGGGCTCCTGTGCTACCAGCCGCGTAGCTTCGGATAGCATGGGAATTCATGTGCGAGCTTCTAACTTGAAGGTTCAGGGTCGATATGGCTTTCGAAACGTCGCAGAATCCCACACTTGGGGCTTGCTACAGGTTGCGTGGTGACTGCGATTTGGAAGGCCACAGCAGGTGGATGCGGCTACCGACTGTTAATAGACATTTAAAACGCAATGCTGTAAGCATTTCGTAGTGTCTCATGAGGATAATAACTAATAAAAATGGGCTTTATAGCAACCTTCAAAACAAATTTCATCAGCTGATTAGGGATTGGTTAGGTCAACCAACCGGAAGAAATGTGATTGTCGATCTGTGAGTAAACTTTATTGAAGAACTCGAAACTACCATTCTCAGTGCATAGAGGTAACAGTTCTCTGAGAAACTCTGCCGAGATGTAAAGAGGAAAGTTTTCCGACTCTGCCATACGGTATCTATGGTTCTTGTAGAGGGACCTTGGTAAAAGGTGATTGCGTGATCACAAAGTGCATATTGATTATCAACTGGGTTCAGTGAGTCCAGCACATTGTATTGCAAAACGCTGACCCACGTAGAACTCTTCTTCAAAGGAGACACAATCACAATACGAACACAATGCCTAGTGGCGGACTCAAGAGTCACCACTACCCTAGGTCAAAGGATACCAACCAATTGAGGATGAATCGTACTATTTACGTAAATGCGAGGTTGACAAAACTTATGCGTGTCCCATCATTTGAATGGGCCAGAAATGATATTTTTCAATTCACCGAATTGAATTTTGGGCGGAGAACAACACAACCATTTGTACTCGGATGTGTGTTCCTCTCGAGCCATCCAGTTTTTTTCCTCTCAGAGTTTACTATCCTTTGAAACCGAGATCCACGTGTTCTCAGGTTCACGAAGGCCCTTGCAATAATTCGATCAAAGCCCTCGCTATGCTCAAAAGCTGCCTGGGGTGCCGTCTAAACTGGCTCGGCCTAAGTGATGCAACACGTCATTTTTGTCACGGTCGCCTGGGGGCGAACAACACGTTGATTGGACAGATGTGCTGCGAGCCGGCTTCGGATTACACGAGGGCATGCACTAATCGGTCTGGTGTGGGCCAATCCGGACCGGGCATTTTGGTTCGGCGCTTCTCACAGCATCCGGAAGCCTCCGTGATGACCCTATAAGTACAGTTGTACTGATTTCTCTCCTTGGGGGACTTTCTCAAGCTGCAGTACCGCCTGCGGCTCACATCAGCTGACCTACCCGATCCATAACCACGTGGTGAACTTTATCGTGGAAGCTTCTATGAGACTTTTCGTCTATTGGCCTGTGTACCTCCGGTCTCCTATTTCTTTATTTCAGACTTCATTAGCCGCTTTTTTCTACTGAGAACGCGCCTGATTGATCGGCTGTTGTATGAGATAACCGCTCACCATAGCAGTGATTCGAGACGTAATTACCAAAACACGGTACACTGTGCAACTTGTAGGCAAAATTGACCTGGAACATTTAGTTTCCCTCTATTCTTTACGTGCAGTGGTCATGTCTTAGGGAGGATGGTGAGAATCCTCACACTTACCATTCTGAGTCGTCCGTATCTGTCAAATTTTCAGTGAACCTTGGGCACTTGAATAGAGTCCGCCCTTTGACAAGGCCACCACCATCACACCACGGCAGTATTGACTTCTCGTGTTCATTTAGCTGTCATCAGACCTCAAGATTCTTAATCATATGAAGGGGTTATGTCAGGGCGCGCCCAGACAGAAGAAAAAGTACATGTGCAGAGAGTGACGCATCCCCAAGGTCACCATCGGTTCGACACGTCCGGAAAGTAGGTGAGTCGGCGGCCCCCACGAAACACGGCCTAGCAACACACGACTAGCGTAGTGGGCCTGAGAATGTTCACGACCGGACCACCACCATTGGCTGTACGGAGCGAACAAGTGAACGACCATATTTGGCCAATTAGTCATCCTATATATTTACGCGGACGTTCTGTATGTTTTGTCCTGGCAATACAGCCGTGTCCCCAGTTCTCTGTCTTCTCCCTATCGCGTAGTCTGGCAGCCTCAGTGCAGGCGTAACCCATAGCTCGGCCACCGCACAATACAACAGGTTACAAATAATGAAATCTTAGTTTGCCGTAAATTTTCTTTCTGGATCCACACATATTTTATAACTGGTATCTTACCCCTGGTTTACGTATCCAACTTCCTATTTCCGTTTCAGGCTCAATCTCGAGTGTATATTTGACCCGATATCCGTGGATGTTTCTGACCCGAAGCTCTGGAAGGACTTATCTCGTCGTTATTGGTACTTTGACACGTATTTTTTGCCCAAATGTACGTTCCAACCGGAGTCATAGTAGAAATGATTCATAGAAGTTCAGCGTGTTTTACATTGGCTGGGTGACTGGTCTCGTTTATACTGATAGATAACCTTGGGGTGAGATGGCCCAAGTGGTAGAGCGCGAATTTACTGACCGGAAGGTCCATAGTTCGAATCCGACTTCCCCTGTCTAGGCCTGCGTATCCCAGCCCTCGTGCCTCCTATTGGTGGCATGGCAGTTAGGCGCCGAAAGGGTGCTACAGCTGAACGATAGACAACCTGTTGGCCAACAAATCAGTGTGGATGGAAGTAACACGACTTGAATGGAATTTATAGGTCGCGGTAGTAGCCACTTCATGAAATCATCTAGTCCGATGCTTGACTGTCCAACTACTATTGACAGCCTAGCTTCTCGGCCCGTTAGCATTTTCTGTTGTGAATGTGTGCTTGGCAACTTCTATTACCAGGTGGCTCGTGCGTATGTTTTTTCAGAATCGGATGGCGCTATCACGTTTCCATCAGTGTTAATCCACGTATGTCTAGTTTATCAGCTGTTATAAAACGGTTTGTAGCCACGTTAATCAATTCCGACTGGGAACAGTTGGAACGGGGCTCGATCCTTATACCTCACGCCTCCCGGAACGATATTCCACTTTAGGCGTCGACCCACGCCGCCTTCGTTCGCCAAATCCCTCTCCCTGGTGGATCAGCAGTTGATCCCTTAGCTCTCTCAAGAAACCTTTTAGTTGACACCACTCAGTCAAGTTATGTCCATCCGACATCCCTGGGATGATGGTCTCAAGTCAGGAAACACGACCTTTTGAATGGGTATTAATTAAAACAGTGGCCAAGTCTAAGCCAACAAACAGAACCTCAAAACTTCAGCGGCGAACCATCTCTCCAGAGGGGCGAGCAGCTTCAATCCGACTAAATTCTGCTTTTGAGTGATGAGCCCAATCCATTTTGCATTTCGACTTCCCCTGTCTAGGCTTGGGCAAACTGGTAGTATCCTAGCCCTCGTGCCTCCTTCGTGCGGCATGGCTACAGCTACAGCTGAACGATTTTTTTATTTCACAGGGTATTCCCCATGTGAGGAGATGATTCCAATCGAATCACAACCCGTGCCAGATTAGGCGTTTTCGTGATCGACCTCACAGATCATCTCTGAATTCGTTGGTCGGAAACTTTTTTGAAGGAATTCAGGATCCAATTAACTAAATTTACAAATCATGTGTTTTAACCCGAGATGACTGAATGCGGGGTAATCACCAATACAGCTGCGATATAAAAAGAAGGGAACATCGATGGCGCCTCGGAGAGAGCAGAATTTACTACGCTTGATGCACCACATCGCTACTATCAACATAGAATCTTAAATGTAGCCGACTTTCAGTGAATTGTTTGGGGGCGCAGATTAAAACGTCACAGATTGGTGATTGCATTAACATGCTGAGAGATTGATTTGATTACACACTCCCATTGAATAAGCACTCGACACCAGAAGCACCATCCCGGTACAATGCATGACGTCACAGTGGGATGACAGAGGGGAATAGAGGATGTTACGGAAAGCTTGGATGCTGTTCACCTGTCAGGATTCGGTTAACGTGACACTCCATGTGCTTGGTCTGATATACTGAATGATATAGGGGCTAAACAAATAGAGGTCTTGTGTGCGTGCTTCGGAGGCACGGCAGAAAGGAGAGACAAGGCTTCAGTACGGGATGACTTGCCAAATTTACTGCAACGTGGGTCAGGCCTTTTGAGTTTAGTAAGGGATACTTTATTTTTCTGGGCGATAGTTTAGACACCGAACAATGGACCTAATAGTCTGACCTACTTGACTGCAAGCTGCTTGCCTGGCCCGGGGTTGTTGGGAGTAAGGCATAACCCTCTGAATCCTAATGGGTCTGCGCACAACAAGTGTCTTCTGATCAGCACGAGACTGGTTTTAAAAGCATTTCGACCGTATTGAATAATGCCCCGGCAGTCACGATCAACTGTTGTTCGTTCATAGCGTGCGGTTTTCAGAGTCAATCTTTTCTAACCCGTCCTTACTCTAAGGAAGCCGGCGTCGATGCTTCTATACATATGGATGTGCTGGTTCCCATAGTTGTGATACACTTCTTCGGTAGGCTGAACATGCGTAGTACATATCAAAACCGCTACATTCTGCCAAGCTTAATTAGAAACTCATTATCAAGTAAATGCGGATAAGCTGCAGCTGGGCAACACCTTCCAAAAAGGTATTCAAAGGGGCAAAGACTTCTACCATAGCTGTTTTGGGTGCGCTACCCGCAGTCTTCGATAAAGCATGTTTCTGACACGAATCCAACTCATCTATCAGGGTATTTGGAGTGCATTTTTCCACATCTTGAAAACTGGAAGTCTCGGAGCAAGATTGCGCTTTGGACTTGCAAAACTGATGTCGAAGCACAGGATCGCTTCCGACTTACTCGAATTGAATTGTGTGGAAAGTCGTCTAGTAACAAAGTAATGCCTCCCATTCAGTCTGGATGTTATTTCGGCAACCAGATTTACTCCCTGGTGTACGAATTCCCCAATGCTGTCACTGAAGAGGGAGGCACTGACATATCCCATGAACTGGGGGGAACTTCAAGCACAATGCATAGGGTTACTGAGAACTCTTCGACAGACCATGGCCGGTTCCGCCCAATTTTGGTAGATGATAGGTGTATTTCGCGGATATCGTTTAATTTGGGTCCAAGTAGAAAGGAAGTTCATGGAATGCGTCTACTCGAATCGCAATAAGAAAGACGAAACCGGTACTGTTCCTTCAAGAACTAATACTGCGATATCTCAAATATTCTACCAAGTGAAACATGAAGCAACCTTGGCGAAATATACTCATTTGTATACCACTGCGGTTGTGACAGGGGACCTACTTGGAAACCAGCTGAATTTCTCGTTTGTGATGTTTTTAATGGGCTGCCGAAGAGTTTACATCAAACGTATGAGTAATGATTACATATATGCGTAGTGCAAACTTCGTTCGGCACATCCGTTTGAGGAATGTCACGGACGAGAGATTCAACTGAGTCTTCCGTTAAAACCAAACCAGTGTAGAAACTTACAAGGAAAAACCCACTTGCAGACTCTGCGAATCCAATAGCATGGATCTGGACCAAGAATTCGCTTTGGCAGCGTGTGTCGTGCTCTTCAGTCGTCACCTCGGAGACAGCAACATCAGTGTGGATACTAACGCATCACTGCCTTGCAGCCACAAAGGTGTTTTAATTGTACTTAAGGCATTAAAGTGGAAAGAGGGGACTAAAGAATGACCTGGTGTTGGTCTGTTTTATTCTGAAGTATCTGAGGTGTCTACACCCTTAAGCACTCAGTCAGACAATCTGGATGGGAACTGACAGCACGGACGCCACTGATGTCGATTGGTCATCATTGGTCGCAATGTCTCCAGCCAAGTACAGCCGAAAGAGAGGTCACGGGAACCCCACTCAAGAAGACGGACCGCAACAATAGTACCTAAACTTCTCGTAATCTCTTTCACACTCTCCCACCAAGATATACGGCTTGCGCTATTCTGATGAAGGCGAAGGAAGAGAACAAAACTTGTCGGTAGACGAGTTTTCGGCATGAGTAGCATGTGGCCAAGCTGTAGCAGTTGATCGTGCGGTCTAAGTCGCTTCGTAACGTAACGTACCGTGTTTAATATACCGGCTATCTGGTCACAGTTATGCAATACGCTCTGTGGCTTGCGTCGCATACACTGCGGTTAGGTGTCGCAGTATCGAAGGGGGCTCGTTACGTTAGGTCTTTAAACTTGTGGCAGTCACTTTGGGTAATCTCTTCTGCTTGGGTCCAAGTACCACGTTCACATCCTCGTACTGGGCTGTGCGAGTGAGACGATAATCAACGACCATTTTTGAATAAGTCTGGCGTGTCCTCACTTGAGTCTTCAGCTTGACAAGGGGCTTGTTACGTTAAGTCTTTAAACTTGTGGCAGTCACTTTGTATAATCTCTTCTGCTTGGGTCCAAGTACCAGGTTCACATCCTCGTACTGGACTGTGCGAGTGAGACGACAATCAACGACCATTTTTGAATAAGTCTGGCGTGTCTTCACTTGAGTCTTCAGCTTGACAGCGTTCCTGGACAGGTCTCTAGCATCCAAAACAACAGCTCGAACTGAACCAGCCAAATGAGGACCGTGGGTGGTAACTGGGCTGTAATTGGATCTACTCCGTTCACTGATCTCGACAAGTGCTATTGTATTTTAGGCCTCATCTATTCTGTTCGATTACTCTGCTAAAAATTTACCTTGGATCCTGTTTCGCAGTCTAGCTGGGGCAACTTCCTCGCTGCGCCAGCCTCTACAATTTCCTGAGCACCCTTTCGACAGTGAAGCATCGGTGTTGAACACTGATGTCATGCTGTCGATGATGATGAAGAAGCACCCTTTCGTACGTCTCTGTATGAGATTCTCGTTTAATTTGACTACAAAGCCATCACAGTGCATGCTGCAAGCCCGAGGACAACGTTCTGTATCATGTCACATCGAAGCCCGCTCCCACCCACGGTACCTTTAGCTTGGTTATTCCTTCCTAGCTACATTTAGTCTTGTAGAGTCCCTTTTTAAGAAAGGTTTGGAGTTTGTCCAACCAGTGTTCCAAAAAGTTTTTTTTACTGCTAAGCGATAAGTTTGTTTTACTCGTTGGACGAAACGTACACTGGATTAACGCATGATCCAGTTGGTTGCAGTCAATGAATCAGTAGGGCTTCATTGTTGCTCCTCAGGAGACACCAGATGGTTTAATCGTGCTACCTGCACCTCAACTCAGTACTTCTGAAAAACGCTTGGTATCCATGATTATTACGTCTTGTATCTCAACTAAACATTACCACCAATTCCTGCTTCCCACCGAGGTAACGTCTATCCCAGGATTTGTGAAACCTAGTAGGCTGGTTAACTCTTGGTGTTTCCCACTCAGTCATTGCTCGAGTATAAGCAGAAACTAATAGGGAAAATTAGTATATCGACTAGCGGCGACTGAACGGCGGAACAGAGACGATTGTTTACGAATATCCAATCAAGCGATGCTTCGGTCTAGAAACTGAGAGATACGTAAACACCGGTAGGGTGTCCCGAACCAAAGCAATCGATTCATGCAACAGAGACCGCGTTCATATTTATGGGCTACCTTACACAGCATAATCGCCTCATGTAACCAAAAAGGTAGGATGGCGTATGTAGCCCGATTCATCAAGACATGGCATACTTGCTCCAGAACTATGCATTTTTAACCTGTATATTTAGACCAGAAGGCTAGACAAGTTTAATACCACTACAACTGATTGTTCATGGTGCTCGACCTTCGTTTCACGAGCTCGTTCGTTCTTTAAAAAACCCATCCAATCCAGTGCACACACGAAGACAACTCAGCAGCATCTGGATAAATACAGCTCCTAAAGCATCTGGGGTGGCGAAATAACTTTCAGAAACAATCACTGATTATTTCTCAGTATGTCGAAACCAGTGGCACCGACATAGGCACTCCGTAGGACGATCTGGAAGGGCTGTTACATTGAAACCTGGAACTGAAATTTAACGTTGAAACGTACCACCGGACACGGACCGTCTGGTTTCCGCGAGGACCTGTATTTGTAAATGTTTCCACGAAGCAAAAAAAATGCTTGCTATTTCCAACTTTCAGTGCAGCACTAGATATTTTGACGGCGTAATTCTTCATATCGATGAGGCAGTGAACCCACCAAACGTCCTAGCACCCTTCACTGCGACAAACCTGTGTACACAATTCACCGCACAAATCGATTGAAAACATGGTCACCTTATGCCATGAGCACATCGTTATTAAATGCTTAACATGACTCAATAGGATGTGGAGGTTATGGAGCAGATCCAAATTGAGTACTAAGCGACTTTATAGCGGATCGTACCCGCCTGTGAAGGGCATTGTCACTGAGCTGTGGTGACACTTAGACTGCATACTAAAAGTCGCTCAGCTGTAACACACTTTCGGTGCCTAAGTGCCATGCTACCCGGAAAAAGCATGATGCAGATGTCGGTTCAATGCTTCACGGGCTGCCATAAGCCGCCACAAGTGACGCCAGGAGTCATCTTATGACGGGGGTCAAACCGATCTTTTTGTGATTACCTCACTCAATAATGTCCTGTTTTTGGATCTCTTTAATTGTTCGGGACAGTCTCATCTTCCCAAAGGCTGGTAAATAGATCGGACTTCACTCTCACTCGGACCAGGAGCTCGATCACAGATATCCGAGGTCGTAGGGGGTTACAGGTTCATGGTCCAAAGTTCCAGCGCAGTCCGACAATCCAAATGAGTAGCAGCTGATAACCAAGATTGTTTTTCAAAGTGCACGGCCCAACGATCAATGCATCCTTCATCACCAGTTTGATATTTGATGGTTCTAGTCATGGGCGGCTTCTGGGGGTCGGTCCTTCTGGGGCAATCTCCGGACAGTACCGGGTTTCTGGGTCTTTTACATTTCTTTACTCGTCCGTGTGCACCAGGTATCCGCCTTGTACGCACGTCTGGTTTCATTTGACGCCTGATATTCGTCAGGCTGAGTTACACTCGGAAGCTCGTAAACAGAAGTAGGTAAGGAAGATACGGTTTTGCTAAATGCCTTTACTTCTATTCCACTGCCGTCAAGCAAAATACTACAATATTCAGCCAAAATCATCAGCTCATATACTGTCTGGCTGCAAGACGAAATTGGATGCGGCACAAGGCCGTGTATATTGTGCTTTTGCGCTTCAGCACGCCGGTCCTCTCTTCGGTAAGAGATCAAAGTGCCGCAGCCGCTCTGTATTCACTCTTGCCTGCTTCAAAATCTCAAACTGGCCGTACTAGGCACCTTCCCCCAACACGCAATGGAGCATCATCCTATGTGGTCAAATAGCGACGGTACCTAGTCAGTAGTGTAGCCATACAGCGCACTGAAACAAGCGATTCAACCACAGGCGTACACTTCGACCCATATATAACGTGCAAGCACTGCATGCAAAGTGACGGAGTCATGTTTTGGCGTTTGCACTGATCTCAAGCTTTCAGCTTGCCGTGGTGGTCGGGCTTCAGTGTTACAATGATCCCGTGGTTGGAACTGCATTCCACAGACTGTCAGGAATGAAGAAGGGGAGAAGCCAGACAAAAAGCAACGACACCCCGTATTACGAACAACCATAGGGCGGGGTTGTGAGCGTAACATCGTAGTCCTCTGCGATGTGAGTGCGAAGGCAATAAGGTTTTTACCCAAAATGACTAATATATCCATATTTATGGGAGCTGTGATGCCGCGTTCACCCGTGATAGGTTTGTTTACAAAAGACCGGCTCCGAAACCCGCACAATTCGATCGTTCAAGAGTTGACTGCCAGCAAATTACCTACTGTGGTCGAAATACGTTTGAATAGCCATCGCCATCATCATGGACAGCATGACATCAGTGTTCAACACTGATGCTTCGCTGCCGATGTGTCCTCAAAACAGCTGTTTCGTGAACTAACATCCAGAGTGAGATACGTACGTTACACCCCATTTAGCCTCGGACTAGGCTACTTACGTCTGAGGTTTAGACATTGGCTCTGTGGCAGGACCCACCGAGGGAACCCTAATAACCCGCCTTGTATGTCAGGATCTTCAGTCAGAGGCTGAGGGTCGTTATCTCGAACAAACCCTTATTCTGGGGATGGGCAACTGGCAATTATCATTCGCCTTCCAGCGCTTCATTCACTGGCACTCGCCCACAGACCATCACCACCCATCAAACTGTGCGCTGCGATTAATTCAGCTGCCGATCACCTAACCACTGTTCCAAATAATTATTAAGCCTGATCCATGCTGCCTTCAATGTCCTTACAATCTGCCAAACTTGGCAAGTCATCCCTTATTGAAACTTGGCTTTCCTTTCTGTCCATATATGTTGTGCCCCCGAAACACGCACACGAGACCTCAATTTGGTTAGCCGACATTTCGTTCAATGTCTCCGGCCAAGCATACGGAGGGTCCCGTGAGCCGTACTCTGGGTGAACAGCACCCCAGCTTATTGTAACATCCTTCAATCCCCTCTGATGTCATATTCTGTTCAGCTCTCGGTTTGCGTCACTCTGAAGTGGGCACGGAAGCATCCGTTGTCTCGGCAGGCGGTAACCCGGTACATGTAACACATGGACCACCCACCTCAGCAATGCAACACTGGATGTAATCTTTGAGTGAAGTACTGTCTGTTTCATCAAGAACCCGTTTCATGGCCATCTCCGTGCGAATTCACTGGTTCTACCTATAGTTCTGAGACAGCAGTGATCGTAGACCGGAGGAATTCTCAGGCCCTCCGCCCGATGTGGCCATGTCTCGCAGCCGTACAGCAATACAAGCCACACAAAAATGATATACGCGTCCCATGAGACCTGACAGTACGCAAGTTTGGCAAATCGGCAAACACATTTCCAACCTTCGAGACTTCCTCTGTCACACTACCGCCAGAGCTAGTGCAAATTCCGAGAAATGTACAGAAATTCGCTTCTTTCAGTGTCTCTCTTTGGGTGCTCTGAGGCGTGGCCCAAAACTGTAAGTCCTGCGGGATAGCTTGTCAACTTGCGGCCGCAAAGCATGTACCTTGGTCGGCTTTTCAAGTATCGTCTATGCTTCCTGCTCGTTTTCAAGACCGAGAACAATGTCGTTTGCATTTTCCAGGTTGACAAAGGTAGGTACCATCAACTTATCCGTTAAGGACCGCGTTTACAATGCCACAGTGCGATCCATATTATTTGTGAGTCTGAAACCTGGAGGGATGTCCAAAGCCTGTTTGACGAACGATGCCTTCGGAACGTTACCCGAGTCTGATGGGAACCCCGGATCTGATACCGAAGTGCATCAATTGATTTCCGGAGTAGATGACGCATTCAGGATAAATGAACCGATTCTACCCCATAGGTTGCACTGGTTTGGTCACGTTCCCCGTATGCCAGTTGTCCGACTTCCTCGAACAGCGACGTGAAGGGTGGGAACGAGCCAGACGAAGTCAAACAATGACTTGGCAGCAATGTACGAGCTCAGCTGCACTGGTCATTGCTGTCTCCCTCGATGGGGACCCAAGGAGGCGACACATCGGTGGCTAGAGATATGTTCAGATACTGCCTAGTTGCGCCCTAGATGGCACTCGTGAATCCAAGCCATTGCCTTCAAACTAAGTGATACTGCCATTGCCTCCAAACAGCGGTTATGTTTTCCCTGATGTCCTACTTCCGGTGAACGGAAATTCACCAGTCGCAAGCAATGTAATCTCGGTAGATGGTTCACAGCTGACCAAATGAAGCTGGACTGTTTGACCTGCTGGTCTGTATTGAGAAATGTCATGTCGTTGCAAAGATTCACCCAACCTAACTCCCACCCCATAATTGACCCCGAACACCCACCTGGCAACACGTATTCCTAATTTGCATTCACCGAACTGAACTTCAGTTGTTGCTCTTCAACCTCACCCGACGGCTCTCGCGACCTTTCAGTAAACTTTCTAAACCAGTGTGCGTCTCTTCGTTTGACATTTCGATACCGACAACCAGCTGCACGGTAGACGAAACGATGTGCGTTCCCATGTTATTTCATTTTTCTGAAAAAGATTGAAGATCGATCAAAGGAACCCTATACAAACAGAAGGCCTTTATTAGGTATTTGCAAGGCTCATGAAGAGCATTTTCCTGTCTCAGCTAACTGCTCCACAATACTGAAGCTAAAGCACACACCCGTTACGGGACTAGAAAGTCAGTAAACCATCTGGCTGACAACCTTTCCGCGCTTAGTTACCATACCAACAGAGGAAGCAGGGGAGCTGGGATACTATCAGGTTGCCAGGGCCTAGACAGAAGTCTAGATACAGAGGCCGGGTTCGAACCACGGACCTTCCGGTCAATATATTCGCGCTGTAACTAGAGTCCTCTCGCCCCCCTCGTAGCTGAGCTAGGAACTGACCTTTGTAAGAATAACCACTTGCATGAGCAACAGATGTTCGGATGTTGCCAACGATAGTCACTTTGGCCGTTGTCAGACGCTGCACCATCGTGTTTTTCCGCTTTCCATTTTAGTCACGGAAACACTTCGAGATGCATAAAGCACGGCTTACCCTTACATTGACTATCATCCTACTCGGGTATCACATTGTTTTTACTTCCTAACCTGGCCTCATAGCATGTGCAGTGCAACATGCTCCAAAGACTTTCCGTAAAATCTCTGTACTCTGAACTGAGGAGACCATTTTACGGACATCCACCTCCAGAAGTCAATAAATAGTTCTTCCTACACAACTACGGCTCCTGGTTGTTTCGTTAGCTCTCAAATCAGATAACCAATATCAGAAGACGTGTCCAGTTAGAGCACATTTGGCAAATAGCAGTCCAACTAAGTTTGCAGCCACCAAATCCAAAGTACCACACATCACATAATGATGTGTCATTATGTTCACGAACTGTGATAAGTTAGCTCCTACCATCCATTCCAAAGTACCCTTAGTCCTGGATGGAAGAAAGGCGATAAAAAGAACCTACGGGACTCGTCATTTTGGGAAAGGGATATCCTGTTTTGCCCAGAACACGGGTTCAAAGAACAAAAACAGATGGCCTGACGTTGTTTAATACCAGAAAGTGGTCAAGTTCGGAAATACTGTGAAAGTAAGTACATTCATTCTGCAAAAGCCACCACCATCATTGATCCTTTTTAGCAGAGTCCAACTCTTTGATCATCTTGAGCACTGCTGCGTTATACAGATCGGAGCGCAAGGTTCCTTTGGCGTCGAAGAAATCCGCAACACAACGGTCGAGTGAAGCGACTTTCGACTTATTGGTTTTTCCATAGGAGACTATCAAGGAGAGGTGATAAGTCGGGTCATACCTAAAATACATTTGAAAAGGTTACACTTTACTTTTCCATGTGAGAGGAAAACTGCCATGTGTCCGGTGGATCCAAACCAGTGGGATCCATCTTTTTACCGACGTAAAAAATATTTCTCTCCACATAGAGAACGTACAACGTGATGATACCGGAGAGGATAAAGTATATGATTACGCAAACGACTAGAACCATCCGAGACTGTGGATGAGGATATAGATAGTCCCAGAGTAACGCGACCGCTGCAACAATCACAGATAGTGTGCATAACGCTAAGCGCCCGTCGAAAAGTGCGTGATTCTCGACCAAACCGTGTTCCTTGGACATGAGCTAAAAAATTTCTGTAAAACGGAAAGTACGGACGTACGGCTTTCGTTGCATCATCCAGAGCATTTTTCACGGCCGTAGAATGCCACCGATTGACAACAATTGGGTCAGGGTTCTCGTCTTTCGACATATTTCGAAATGCGCACGTCTGTGACGGGGCCTCTTCTGTCAGAGCTGCCCTTCTGGTTGATGCACTTAAACCACGCGAGACAGATGGTGAAAAGGTGGTCGCTGCAGGTCTGCTTAGCCCCTTAATCAGGAGGCGTATGTGCTACTAGGTTGTAATAGTTAAAGGTTCTAGGATCATTAGGCTCAGATGTCTTGTTCTTTCCCTTGCTATATCGCGTTTTCTTCCAGTTGGTTTTTTCCAGCTTGTCGATCCAGTGAGGCATTGTCGTCTTGGTGGCGGGATATCGGAGCCAGTAGTGACGTTTGTGGCTGGTGCATCCCTTGGTTGTTACTTTGGGACTATTTAGTCTGTAGTAGGGGAGGAGTGCTACCGTCTCTTGTGTAAAATACACATTAGAGTAAATAGAGTTTGAGGTCGATAACTGACCTAGGAACAGAAGGGCAAGGTAGACTTCCCTTTACCTTTTCCGCCCTGATCTTTGTTGTCTTGGTTCTTTTTATTCTATTTTAATCGCTTATTTTTCTTTCCCTTGATTTTCGTTTTCCTGCTTTGCAGGAAAGGTAAACGAAACAGTGGTAGTAAAAACAGGCCTTCGCGTGTATAGGTCTGCGGTGAACTCCGAAAGGAGTTCACACTGTACGATCCATCGGTAGGATGTTGCGAGTAGAATTTATCCAGCCGATATTTGGAATCGGCAGTTTTTAGCATAGGAGATTTCCGCCTCAAGCACATTCCTGGTCCTGACACTCTCCCCTAGATACTATGTATAGTAGGCGGCGGTTGTTTAAATTGTGGCATGGTCCCTTAAGTGAACTTGCATTCTGACACCAATGGTTATCTTCATTGGTACGAAAGGTCGACGCCGTTTGGGGAATGAAAATAAGGCCTTCGCCAAGCTTTCAGTATATATGACCATAAAGACCGCTTTGCCCAAGTTTCTTGGTACAACACGCCTCCTTGACCCCTAAAATTTACCGGCCACAAGCTGCACTTACTGAAGACATGTGATGGCTTTTTCGAGTCGGTGGTGCCTGAATGTCGTTTTCTTCCAGAAGACCTACAGTATTAGAGTGACTCGCCTGAGAGCTGTTAACTTATGTTAATTTGGTCCCTTTCTAGGAGACCCCATTTTCGAAAGCATTTGGTTCAATTTCGGCTGGCCCTTACCAGATTAGGGTGTTGACCCTGGGCTACGCTTATCGATTCAGTGTACCACTGGATCCTCAGCTGGGTGACAGGTGTGTGCTTGACGAAGTTGTACGTCGATGGTCTCACATTTTAGGTGTTGCGAACGAAATATGTTGATAACCATTCTTACTGTATGTTCAGGTCAGATAACGAGTTAATTTTTTGCGGGGCAGCAAATTAAGTTCCGGGCTTCAATTTAACCCACATAAGTTAACAAGGAAGAGCTTGCCCGGAACAGCCTTTGGCTGATGTGGGTAATAGCTGGCTTTGGACTAGGCATGCGTCGCTGTGGTACCCCCGTGAGTATAGTTCAGTTCATGAGATATCTATGGAAATGCTAGGGGCAGTAGTCTAATATGTCTACTCATCTGACGTGATTATAATACGTCATGGTCTTCTGGATCGGACGCCTTTGGACAATCGGGGTCTTTTACATCCATGGGGCGTGAGAGCACCTCCTGGTTCTATTCAGTCATTAGGCCAATGTAGCGGATGAGGTTTTGGGAGTGGACCCACGTGAACGCGGGTTCGTTGTCACTTACGACTTTCTTCGTAGACGAGGGCACAACCAGCCATTCGGCAATTAAACTTCTCAGCATTTTGCATTCACGGATTCACGGATGGATACACAGGATTGAATCTTTTGTCCGAGTTGCCGGTTCGTTTTTGTTCTTGTCGTTCAGCGGTTGTCGTTCACCTCAAAGGCACAAGTAAAAAAGGGTGTAGTACTGCTCTTTATGTTCTCAGCGCGGGGCAGTACGTTTGCCAGCGCGGGGATTAGCATAAATAAATGTCAAAGAGTGCTTTGAAGCGGGTTCTAGGACGAGCGTGGACAACCGTCGGAGGAAGGTCATTCCACGCAGCTACTACCCGAAATGAGGAAAAAGTTGCCTAATGAGTGTGTGCCTTCTGAGCTTGTAAATCTTCTTACTATATCCCCACTGTTTGTTTGCTGGGTTCACGGTGCAAAACCTGTGTTGCCAAGCTTTGTTCAAAAAGGGCATAAGTAGGAATTAGGTCCCTTCGGAGGTGGCGATACTCCAGGAAATGAGATCAAGCATCGCTAGATGCGCTTCTTAGTCCACGGAGTTGAGGCCGGCAACAATTTTCGTAGCGGTTCGCTGGACGCGCTCAGTGAGGATGGCGTCTTTCGTGCGCCCTGAATAGGCAACTTGGTTGGCATATTCCAGGAGCGGTCTGACGTAAGCCCCACAGAGTATTTGGAAGTCCATGCGAGTGATACAAGAGAAGGTGCGTCGAATCATTTGTAAAATGGCAGATGCCTTTTGGGCTGATTTCTCGTCGTGCAGTGAGAAGGACGAAATTGAGGAAACCCAAGCCCTCTTTTGGCGTCCATCCTCATGGTGTTCTCTGGTCATTTCTCACCATGCATAACAAAGGCATTCACTGAGTCTCCTCCAGTGACATATAGACGCACGTTTCGTCATTCAGAGGAAGGTGCCAGTCCAATGACCACTACTTTGCGGCGCTACATTCAGTTGGAATGCGCTGGGATTGCAAATCCAGGATTCCAAGTCGTCCGCAAAAGTAGACATGGACTTGCAAGAACATCTGGCGTAGATCAGAAACAGCAGTGGTCTCAGGACGGATCGTTGAGGAACTCGAATGGAGACCGGCGCTGGAGAAGAATAGGTCCAGCCTATTCTCACTCGGAATGATCCGTCTCATAAAAACGCCCTGATCCATTGAAGGGGTTTCCTTTGAATTCCCTATAACCCAAGTCTGTGGAGCACCGGGGCTTGCGGGACCCGATCAAATGCTTCCGATCAGTCGAAAAATGTGGCGTCCGATATGAGTCCTTCGTCTTTAGCTTAGGTTAAGCTGTCCATAAACACGGGCACGCAAGAGCGGTTTGGGAGAAATCCGTGTTGAGCTGGAGATATTAGCTTGCTGGAAGTAAGGTGATCTAGGATAGCTCGCTTCAGAATACGTCCCATCAACTTGCATGGCACGCTAGTGGGGCCCATAGGCCTGTAGATGCCGGGCGATAGTCGGTTGCCATTTTTTAAGATTGGCGTGATAATCTTTTCCTTCTAAGCACAGGGGAGATTGCCTTCATCAAGAGGCTGATGAAACACCAGGTATAAATGATTTGCCAGTAGAGATGACGTTTCCTTCAAGATCCTTGGATGGACCACGTCGGCCTCAGCGCGCAGAATGGGTTGATCTTGTGCAAGAGTTGACTAATTTCCTCCACCGTAAAGACCAAGTCGGTTAGAGGCTGTTCGTAGTTAGTGCTTGACAATAGTGGATGTGAGCATATGATCACATGAAGGAAGTCCAACTCCTTTTTGCAAAAAAGGATCTGATGACATCTCCTTCTCAAGTGAAATCAAGTAGGGTGGCTTCGGTGGAGCACACTTTAGTGGGCTTGATGAAGGTATCTAATATGATGCATACAGGGGGCATTTCTGGTTCTTGTGTAGCATTTGCTTCCGTGTGGCCTCACCTTTTCTTGAAAATCGGCCTTTGGTTTCTTGAGGGGATGGACTGGATGAGTCTACGTATTCATAAAGAATTCAGCATGCGAGCAATATTGTCAGAACATGTCCGTCGGTCGTTTCCACACGCAGCTGAATGGTAGCTGCCTACACCAGATCATCCACGCTCGTTGGTGCCACCCTTGAATAGTTGGGTGCCAACTCTGAGCCTCAGGGATAAAAAAATGTAGAGTTAAGAATAACGTGATGTCTATCATGACTTGCATCCCCCAGCGGTTCATGGATCCAGAGTTCTAGCACATAGATGATCCCTGGAGCACGCGTGCACGAAGCCTGCACAGAAGCCGTTTTTGGGAAGCGGGTCAAAAACTCCTCCAGATTTCCAGGTATTTGGAGGCAATTCGGTTGTATCCGCTACTGCCTGCCACCATGTTGCGGCTATCGCTGTTAAAAGTGGGTGTCTTTAATTTTCACGCCAAGTAAAATAACTATTGACACTACCTATAATTTTCCGCTGTAATTTTCATGACGTTTTCAAAAGTGATCATCGGACATCAAACCGATGGACATGCAGTTGTCCTAGTTCTTGTTTGAGCAATTTATATAGGTGGAATACCAGCTGGCTTTTACAAATTGCGCAACCGCTTTTGTTCATGCAACCACAAAGTTTTTCCAAGTTTGTAACCAGAGTATGAAAATTTGGTTTTCTTGAATGCCCGTTTTAGGGTCTTTGAACTTTGCTTTGTTTTTGTAGTAACAAAATGACGAAGCAAAAACCAATCGAAGACTGATCAAATGCAATCAATGGGGGATTCAAACGCAGTTCAATTCCCGGCCCAGGTTGTCCTGTGATCTTTTTTGCATGTGAACGCATTGGGGCATCTTAAACGAAACAATTAGCCTATTTTTATGAACTTATCGCTATGATATCACTAAAAGAAGTCGACCACAAGAAATCACGAGGAAATTTCACGTATTTTAGCATGCTTGACTGCTTCTTGAACTACCGGCTTAACGGCTTATAAGTATTACTTCCATATGTGTCGGTTGGAAATGAGAACGAAACCATACTCATCTATCGAAAAAGTGCAATGGGCTGACTACTGGCTTCAACTCGAAATATTCCACTATCACGGCATATATTAGTGAGTGACGACCAGACTCAAGAAGAGACTAGATAAGCCGGAGGGAACTTTCAAGTGCCAAAGCTCTTTTATTAAGTGCAGACAAGTTTCACACATTGCAGAGTGCCTCAATTTCTGGTTAGTTTAGGTCATCCTTGCTTCCGCATTGACTTCACTGTTCAAGACAAAAGGCCCTCTGGAGCCACGGCTGTATTGGACAATGCAG